GAAACGAATAGTTTGAATGGAGAGAAGAGCATACGCGTGGCCGATCTTCGATAAAACGGTCACTACGACCTGAGCCTAACGGGATAACCTCGATAAACTTTGATCGGTAGATTGTTGTGAAGCCACTCCTAGTAACGCCACTTTACGTTACATTTTTGTATACGTATCTCGATACATTTTACCGTTTACATATTCTAATTCAAAAGTAAAGTAATCCTATTTTCAAAATAAGATATATCTACAACTGGATTTCGTAGATCCGTGCAAAATCCAGTTAAAACTTTCAATCAATGTGATGGTCGTTTATTATTCTATCTCGATGAAAATCTCGATGAGGCAATTCACTCCATCTCAGATGATGTTTCACTTATACTCTGCCGACGGATTATCGATTTAGAACCTTAATGAATCGCATAAGTAAGCAACCAAGATTATTTCAATCACCAATTATTCCGCATTGGCCAAAATTCTCCGTATATCTGGATAAATTTTCTTTTTTAAATATACGCATAGTAGCACATAGTTAGAAAAGTAGAACGTAGTTAGAACGCGAGCAAAACGAGTCTTTCGCCTCGTATAAATATTATGGGAAAAAGGTGGTCGGAGAATGGCTGTTTCCTGTTATCAACACAGCCGCTCGCAGCTGATCGATTTCTCGTATATAACAGCTAATTATATTACCAATTATATTACAGCGAGATACCAACTCGTAGCCTTTAATTCCCTAAGATCGTGTGCTATGTAGTGGCACCGGGTTGAGTCGCGTGCAACGGTTATAACTGTATCTCTCGAGTCGTTCAAGCTTTTCTCCGGTGAAAAGAGCGCGTTTCCTGGCGAACGCAAATTCACGCATTCGTTCTTTCACTTCGACTCTCTCGACCACACCAACCGAGAGAATCCAGGCCAATGACAATAAACAATTTCGATAGATAATCGCCAAAAATCGATCTCGAATATCCTTCTTCGAATTAATTGCATGGTACTTAATAATTACGCGTATTGTATTTTTTTTTTAACGAAGAGATTATTAATATTTAATCGAAATTGCAACAATTGGGAACGTACCAGTATGGAGAAGGATTATAAACGGTGTCGTTCGAATGGTACAATTATCACAGATGGGCCGAAAGAAAGAATAAACGTAAACGCGAATGGATTGAGTACATAGAAACGTATGATAGAAATCCGAGGTAGGATGAGATCTGTCTATCAACCATACAACTGCAGTTTCTCTTTTTCTTCGAGATGGTTGATGAAAGGGTGTTTCGTAGAAAAGCGTAGAAGAGCGTGGTTGTTAAATTGGCGTGGAGCAATATAATCGATGGGATCTGTTCGATTAACGTCGACACACTTTTTGGATCGTGGTTCACCGACCTTACTCCGTTTCGACTCGTTCGTTCTCATCTCGTCACCCGTTTCGAATCGCGATATCGAAGTATAGTAACACAAGGCGCTTCACAAGGCCTCGTGATTTTACGACGTCGCGCCATACGCAACGTGAAATGCATAACGGAATCGACTTTAGCTATTGTTACGAACGTATTGCCAGTCCAATCGATAAGCTAATCAATGAATTGCTCGAAAGAAGAGCTTATTATTGCCGATGCCCTCGATTGAAACTAGTTATCGCAATATCGGATGCTGTTTTCCGTTCCGGATAAACGATCGGTGTCGTCCACTTCTTCCATTCTTCGATTCTAAAATTCAAATTTCTAGAATCTCATTTTCCCCAAGAATTCTCTTTGCTTCGATCGAAAAGGGATCGGAAAGCTTTGCTCGTTTCAAAAAGAAAAGGAAAGGAAAGAAAGAAGGTTCCTTTCGTCGATCATCCATCGAACGACCCATCCTGTGCGATATAAACGTGTCAAAGTCGATTAATCTTGGCAAGATCCTTAATTCGCCCTTAACGATATCTACGTTCCTTTTATGGAACGATCTTTATCAAAGTGCGCCGCGATTCGAGGCAAATGCAATTCAGGTTAATGTAGACGTTAAAATATTCCTTCGAGCAGGATTTAATGCCGTTGTAACGGATGATAGCGTAACTTCACAATAAACTCGCATCTTGGGTTTTACAAAGAAAACGTTTCTACGAATCGGAAAAAGAAGGTGAAGGTCGAACAGATACAGACGTGGGAACCGAAATCGAGTTACCTCGATGATCGGTTATTTCATCCAACTTTGATGTAAATCATTACATCGTTATGCGTTCTTCGTTATTACTATAATATTATTGCGCTTACTTTTGTCTTTAAATATTTGTCGCTGATTTTTATAAACTTACGGTGAATATCTCTCTCTTACTGCAGATGTAATTAACGTAAGAAAATCTTATTGATTCCTTCTCACCGATCGTTTTTTGATCTCAATCATCTGCGTATACACGTGTAAGAAACGAATAATTGTAAACTATTTAATAAATTCTCTATCTGTTGCGTTACGGATAAATTATTCTCTCCAATATATTTTTTGCATCGTAAGAAGATACAATCTTACTTACAATCTTGCAAATAAATTGTTTAATTTGTTATCTTTAATTGTTTATATTGCAAAAAATTATTCGAAATCCTAATAAGAATACATAATTAAATTATCGAATAAAAATATTATAGGAAAAGTTAATCGTCGCGAAAGTTGAATGAAACTGAAGAAAACAAAAAATATCCGTGGAAAATATCTATTTTAAAGATCTTGGATTCACAAGATTTTCTATATTAGCAAGACGGAAGAAACCATTCCAAGAAACTATTTAGTCTTTCCGTTCACGGAGAACAATTCCACAAAAGAAAGTATTCGACTTGCGCGACCGTATGATAATCGTAATCTAAATTCTTTTCAGCCTACAATCTTATTCTATTTGTTCTTCTCTAAATAAATGCAACTAATCTTCCATTTCTCGTTAAAAAAAAATACCAAAAAAGCAGAGAAAGAGAGAGAGAGAGAGAGAGAGAGAGAGAGAGAGAGAGAGAGAGAGAAAAGAAAATTTTTAAACAATGGAATATATCAAACGAAATCTTATTTATTACTTAATTCTGTACAATTACGAGAAAGAGGGGAAAGAATTTATTGGACGAGCGCGATGAACAAAGAAAAATCCATGTAATCGTAAATCCAAATTAAATCTAATCTTCCAACCGGTGGTTATTTCGTTCGATCGAAATAAAGCCCGCACAAACGAATCGATACGTTATTGTTTCGAAGAGAAATTCAGATGGTTTCGATCGTCGAGCGAAACACCTACACACGTATAGGCGAGCGTGTAACGCGAAACGAGCAGTGAATGTATGTTCACCCTATGTAGGTTGAAGCCCTACAACGTTCCGGACCCGTTTCTGGGACAGTCTCTTTAAAGTTTGCGCGCAATAGTTTTGAAGCACGAAGCTGCAAGAGACCACCATTGGTGGTCTCTCTAACTTTCGGAAACTCGGCCAAACTTACGCACCCGCGCTTTCCTCCCAGCCAGACGGTAGACGTTAACAAATGAATCTCGTCGGGGATTCTCTATAAACTCTAACTCTAACCGAAAGAAATCGATTCCCTGTTGAAATAAATTACTCGCTCAAGAGTAATCGAACGGATCGAGAGGATCTCTCGCGTGGGTGTATTTTAAACAGTTTCGCTTCGTTTATTTTTTAAATCTGTCGTACTACTCCCGCGAATCGGATATCAAGCCAGTTCAAATCATTTCTCTTCGAGTTATGGACAAGAGCGTTCATTGTGTATACAAAATTTGACCGCTTCTTCCTTCAAGATACTTTATATTCTTGTAGTATATGATTCTTGTGGTATTATCTTTCGATTATGAAGTCGAGTTACGTATGGCGTAAAGTGGAGTAAAAGATTCGTAACGTCTGGTTGGTCTCGGCTTATATATCCGTTTATCTTCGACGAACGACGTGTTTGGAAGACAATTGAAGCTAATGGATTATACAACATTTCGAATTATTTCGAAATAAGCTCGAGACTGACCAGACACATTATTACGAATCGGATTTGTCCTCGAACGAGACGAGAGAAAATACGAGGATAGAGAATCGTAAAGTGGCCGACCGTAGAGCAACAATATTTAGAAAAGAATAGAATGACGCGTCGTCTCACCCTCAAGCGATTCCCATCACTTGACTCGGAACAAAAAATGGGAATGGCTGCGTGCTTATTTCGAACCAGACGATCGTTACTCATATATACGCGATAAGATAGAAATTGTGTGTCGTTAATGAATTATCTTTTTCTTTTTTTTATATTTTATCTTTGAATTTAAATTTTAATTGAAATTATATCTTTTACGTTTCACGATACGAAAGAACGATACGATTCCAATTGAAATTCCCCATCCTCGTATTATGCATCGAGGTTTAACCGTGCGACCATGCGAACGTTGCTCATGGACGTTCATCGGCACGAAATAAATATTTCCGTGATGCATAGTAATCTCAATGTCGGTCATGCAGAGGAAGAGAACAATTTTTTTAAAAATCAGCGATGTATACGGTGTCATCGTTTCGTCATGGAGAGGACAAACGAAGGATCAAAAGTGAAAAAAAAAAAAAAAAAAAAAAAGACATTGTAAACGTACGCTTAAACGGCTGAAAGAAGCTGCGTAATGCATGCGAAAGAAAAATAAAATGCTGCTCAATTGTCGTCACGAACGTGATTTTTTCCCTCTATATATTGAAATAAATTCACTATCGATTAAAGGAACTCGATCGATAAGATTCGATTGATCGGATAAATTAAAATTTCCTTTCCAATAAATTCGAACGTGCGATTGATTTTTGTGGTGGATGAACGATCAAATTCATCGATTCAGGATTCTTTTCTTTTCGAAACGACCCACAATCGCCGCTATACGTAGACGCGGGATTTGGCAAATCGGCGAGAATGCGAGAGTGCAAAAAGGAAGAGGAGAGCCGGGAACGAGAGAAAGAGAGAGCGAGAGAAGTAGGGAGGGCGTTTAAATACGGAGAGAGCCGCGTGCTTCTTCAGTCCGGTACCAACAGTCCAAACAGATCCATATCCGGACCCAGAGGGAAGAAAACAAGTATCGCGAGAATCACCGAAATATCACAGAAACTGTAAACAAAAAACGAAGAAGAAGCTTCGTTTTTCGAAATTCACGTGAATCGTGTTATTTTGAGAAGAAACGAAAAGAGGGGAAAAAAAAAAAAAGAAAAGAAAAGAAAAGAAAAAATAGAAGAAAGTAAGAGTGAGAGCTGTTTGAAAGGATTAAAAAGAGTGCGTGTAGCAATGTGTCAGTGAAAAGTTGCAAGAGAAGAAACGAATCGAGAAGGAAAAAAATCGCGAAGGAAGAAAATACAGTATGACTAACAGTATGAAGCAAACCGTTATTAAGTGAGTTAACATTTGTTTATCGTTGCATAAAATTTTGTTAACGAAAAATTATGACAGAGATAACCAACTTCTCGTCAACTCCTTGCGATCTCTCCTTGATTTCTCAAAACATTGATTTTGGCGGTAAAATTTTTAACAATTTTTTCGAAAATTTCGATTTGATCGGTACAATTTTCTAATGGGATAATGTAACGATAAATTTGATGGATATTCTTTCTTTTCGATTTGTCGTTAGAATCTTTGAACGTATATCGTATATCTTTTTACCTTCTTATTTACAACTTTGTCTAAATTAAGAAACATCGTACGTTTATAGGATCTTCGGTTTTCTTCGCTTTTTTTTCCGCTGTCGATGATTTGACGAAGTTACATAAAGTTCGTTAAAAACCAGTCACGTTAAGCGAAACCTTGCGATGCGAGATTATATTATAACGAAAAAAATTATACTGTGCGAAAGTAGTTATCTTTGATAAAAAGTTATCGAAGTAATAATTATATTATCACCGTAAAAGCCATTTTATTTTTTATTATTTATTTAAAAGCCATTATAAAGTCGCGTAATATTTTAATTGCATATCGATACGTTGAGTACACGTGTATCCCGGATATAATAGATACGTTTCGTTTTCATCGAACAGCGAGAAGACCATTATTCCGTTTATTTGGCAAGGAATTTGGCGCCGAGATAGAAATTTATCGCGACGTTCATTTACAATTCGAGATTACCGAATCGAAACGATCGAGTTACCAAAATAACGCTTCGAATCGTTTATCAAAGAAAGTTCTGAAAACTGTCAAATGTATTATCTCCGTACCGTAAACAAAATATACGTACGCGTATATTTATCCTTATTCGTTTCGTTCCACGCGCGTGTATCGATTCAATTCTCTTAATTTGTTTCTTCAAAAGAAAAAAAAATTCATTTTTATCTCTCTTACAATCTTTACATTAGCCTGAGTAAATGTTAACAATCGCGACGGAACAAGATAACGATAATAACGCGCTAACAAGCGACGAAAACTCTAAAAGCGAATAAATCGTACAATAATGTTAATATAATAATGTCCCCCATCTTATTCCTTCCAATGAATCTCCATAGTTGATATCTCGATCGATCAGCGTATATAATTGCATATTTAACTGCTTCACGCAAATGAATTGAATTATGTTTCGGAGAAAGGAGAGAGAAATTTCGTGATTTCAATGCAGGCCGAGATTCCCGGTGATAAAACACGGCATCCAGGCGTTGATGTTACGCAGTTGCCATTATTTTAACCGCAACTTTTAAAAAGTCTCTTAAAATGCATCTACAAATTCTCGGTAGAGTTCGGTTTCGTTCAAAAAATTTCGAATGCAGATTATACAACGTTTACATTTATCGTGGTGGTTTATCGGTTTTTTTTTTCGAATTTCGATATATTAATCTAATTGTAAAAAAAAAATCACATATATATATATATATGTACATTTATTTCATCCATTTCAGAAATCGTCTCGTTGCTAACTCTAATTCACTTCCTAGCCGACGAAATCAATTAGTGGAACGTTACTAACGATTTTATCGTGGCGTTAATACAATCTAAATTAAATGATTTCTTGTGACACTGAATAATAAGTAAAACATTATAAAAATAATTTTTTGCATATGAAAAAAAAAAACGTCGAAATCTTATTCAAAATATTGCGATCATCTGCCACCATCTGCAATCCAAAAATTTAGAAAGTTAGAAATTTTTCTCGAGGCGTCCATTTTGTTTTTTTTTCCTCTTTTTTTGTAATTTTATATCTCTCGACATCTTTTTTTTTTTTTTTGCGACACGAATGTCGTTCGTTATGCACGGTTGCGATTAGCCATTGTGGTAATCGATTGCGTCAAAAATGTTTTACATTCGAGATTTTGTAAACGCGACATGAATTTGAGGAGAGGAAACATGCGGTGAACGTACACAATTCTAAAGATACTTTGATCGAGGCTTAAACTCGAATCACGGTGAAAGTTCTCCGTTTAAAAACAATTTCACGCAAGGGCATATCGTGTATTGCGAACAACTGCGCGCGAATCGATTTTATGTATCTATCATCTAAAGGACATATATATATATATATATATAATTTCTTAAATAAAAATAATTCCTTTTTTTATTTCTATGTATTAGAAATATTACAAAATTGTTGGAAAAAAAAATAAGCTTTTTATCGCTTGAAAATAATATTTAATTTACGATAATTTATTTCTACTAGTTATCTAATAAAGTGATAACTCTAAATATGCAAAAAAATTAACTAATAACTAAGGTTATCCTCGTCTCGTTATAAATATTCTAGTGTATAAAATATATTTTATATGAAATTTAACTATTCGTATTTCAAGAATATTTTCTTCTCGTGCAATCAAAAAAAAAAAAAAAAATCAAGTTTAATTCTTAAATATTAAATTTTAAATGTAAATATAATAATAAAATGATCGAAATTGTTCATCATTCAAAATTCGGTTTCAAAAATCACCTCGATGTTTTCTTTTATATATACTTCGATCACAAATTTTTTTCTCCTCTGAACGTGAAATTCACGAATAAACTTAGTGGAAAACAATTTGCGTTTTTCTATGTAGCAGCATCGTTTCAAATTTTAAATTTCACGCGGCACACTTTATCGCTTCCTCTATACGATGTGTTCTACCAAGTTCTTCGTAAAATGGCCTTCTAAATTATTTTTGCAAACAATCTTGACAACCTTGTATCACTTCTCGCCTCTCTATTTCACATTTGGCAGCTAATAGATGAGAGATTGATAGGATAATAGTATTATCCATCGAATCGAGCGAAACGAAATGGAAGCGCACGATGGAAGTACGATACGCTTAAGTGTTATTCTTAAAAGAGCGAAAGAAGCGCGAAATCAACTCGAGTGACTTTCCATTTGGAAAAAGAAAAAAGTGAACTCGCGATGTTCATTAATTAATCATTCGTCTATAAGAAAGAATCTCATTGTTTCGTTTAATCATTCTTGTTGCATGCGATTTTCTCAAGCTGTGAAATGAAGTATGTAAAAGGGAATTCATAAATGCAAATAGAGAGAAAGCAAAAAAGAAAGTACAAAGAAGGTTTGTTTTTAAATAATTATCTATACATACATTGTATGTTGATGAACTTTTTCTTCTTAATTATTTATATCGATTGGAACGAAGAAATTGCCGATAGAATTTACGATTAAGGTGAATTAAGGTCGAAATCGTGTCGTAAGCAGAAAATTATCGAAATATCGAATAAATTGAATAATTGTAAGTTGTAATGTATATTCTCTTATATAAATTTTTATAGTTCAAACGTATGGGTTTTTTTTTTTTCTAAAAGGATATCTATTTGTATTCATAAATTATAGCATTCCCGACACGTTTAAAAATAGAAAAAGAATTTAAATAAAAAATATATACATACGTTTTCAACGATAGATGGAAAGAACAGTTGTCTTGTAACAATATTATTGTCAGCCTTTGTTCAAGGTAGCCATATATCTTGGTAAGAAACAAAGCGGAAATCTACTAGACGTCGAGCCAAAAATATTATTAGATATAATCTTATTAACTAGTGAAAATTAAACAGTTTTTATAACACGTTTAAGAATAATCGTAACGATATAAAATGTTTATAAAATTAACGTTTCGAAACGCAATTAAAATATTAAATAAACTTTGAAAAGGTCATGGAAATGATATACAACAATCGCGTAAACCATGATCTCAATCGTAAAAAAATTGAGAAATGTTTGATAAATAAATGATCGGGAGGGAAGAAATAAATAAAGAAATCGAGTCTGGCGCCATTCGATAAAGTTTAATTGTTTGAAGAAGATCTGAAAAAATTACGAAAATAAAGATCGAGAATGAACGTAAGAAAGATTATCAAAACTTTTAATAAAAACTTTTAATAAATACGTACGTACAAAAGTTTGAATTTTTTAATATCCAAGATAAAATCACGAACAAACTAGACTACGATTATATCATAGTGCTGCTTGTGTGTCGAATCACATTTTTATAGATATAATTATACAAATGAGATTCGAATAAAGATTTGTTTGTCCGTTACAAAATATTTGATACACTTTTGCGTGTTATATATGTATCTCGCAAATTTGTAAATAATTTCGAAATGCTTTTTTTTTTTTTCTCTCTTTAATCTTTACATAAATATCCACAGTTCGTATCGATGACGTAAAATATTTTTTTAACGATTTAAAAAGTTTCAAGTATCAATGATGATAGATGAGCGTCGAAATGATCCTCATTTGCCACGATGCTAATTATTTTTAAATTACCACTTTCATGGCGTACCTAGATCCGACAACGTTATACAGTTATAACAATACCTGTTAGAATTGTGCGAGCATAAGCCAGGATGGCGTCGTACAGTTCGTCGACAATTTCGTAGTTGATGGTTTAATTAAATTCGTTGCTATTTAATAAACGCGACACGAACCAAACTTTTCCTCCATTAACGTTAACATCTTTTATCACGATGCCCCCTGTGTTCGTTTGGTGAATTAATATATCGTAGTAACAAATTTCTCTTTACTCTATCGAGCTAATAAAAAAATTGAAAAAGAAGAAGAAGAAGAAGAAGAAGAAGAAGAAGAAGAAGAAGAAGAAGAAGAGGACTAGAATGAAAAGAAGGTTACGATTAATTGAAATTCATTTGTAGGAAAAACGATATGCAATATGAATCATACGTGACAACTTCGAATAATTCATAAATGGCTCGATGTATATAAAATAATTTTATTATACACTGTTCGTTTAACCAGGATTTATATAGAAATAATTTAAGATAGAAAGACACGTTCTTTGTACCTTTTTGTCAAAATTTTTGCGCACGCTTCGCAACGAAGGAAGTGAAAGTGGTCGAATTCTTCCGAGCGACCAACTCGGAGAAACCTGTCAATCTTACTTAGAATAAAAGTTAACCAAAGATGCATGCCGTATTTGCGGCCACGAATTATG